AAAAGTGTCTGCCTTCCAACTGGCATGGAGAACCACGCCCATCTAACCGAGCTGAAGGCTGTACGATCGGCCAACAAATCGCTAATTCTGGTACATTGACTTCCACCTATGTTTTGAATTTGCCTCTAACTTCTTGCGTGGTATGTCTAAATGTAAATGTCCTGCAGGTCGTGCAAAAGAATTAGATTGCACACGAGCGTGTGCTCGAATTAAAAAGAATAGCCAAGGCAGCTATTGCTGATGACAAGGCCAAAGAAGTCGAGCTTAAAGAATTACGAGCAAAGTTCACTGAGCTAGAAGCTGACCCGGACCAATTGCCTGAGCAGGTTTCTATTGTTGAGGCAAATAAGAACAAAGCTCTGGCCGAAAAGAAGGATCGCTATCTTTGAGAACTGGCCAAACTCAAGTAGAAAAAGGATGCCGAAATAAAAGCACTGTGAAAGCAAATAGAGGATCGTGGGTTCAAGAAAGGCGAGGAGCTTTTCGTCTAGCAATGTGAGGCTTTCAAAGACATATTTTTCAAGTGTGGGTGGAAAGCTACCGCTGCTAAGCTCGGTCAGGGGCCAGATTCTGAAGTTTTTCTCAACCCTCTCCCTCACTTTATACCGAGCTATATGACGGGCTACGTTGCTGTGGTTCAACAGAAGTTCCTTAAGGTGGAAGAGGAGGAAGAAATCGCTGATCCAAATATTGCTCCATCGGCCAACACTGACCCCGGTCTTCAGCTAGCTTGGGTGGATCCGCTCAGCCAGCCTGTGCCATGCCCGGTTGAAAATGTGCCCTTGACCGACCTTCCCTAAGAAATAGCTACCGAAACTAGGCTACCCAGTGGGGAGGTCCGGGCTGACCTGGACACCGACCTTGACGATCTTTTTGCCTAAGGCTTGGCTCTGTATTTTACTTTTAACGAAAATGTAACCGGGCTACAAGCCCCTCCTTCTGTATTGGATTTCTAAAGAATAGAAGTATCTTTTGGTTTGAATTCTTTTGCCATCATTTTGTTCGGTCATAGTTTTTCCATGCTTCAGTGCATCACTTACTGCTAGAATAGTAGGCCTAGCTAGCTCGGCCTTATCCTTCCTTTCTTTCGGCCGAAATATTAATCTTGGCAGAAAAATAACTTGGAAAAAATGCAATACTATTGTAACAGAGATAACCACTTCCAATTATCTCGGTTGGAAGACGAACTAAGTGCTTAGTCAACCTGCCAACCTTTCTGGGCCTAGATCCTTATCTCGGCTACGGAAGAAATTTGTGTTGGTCAAACCTGTCAACCTTCTTGAGCCTAGATCCCTATCTTGGCTGAAGAAAAACTTGTTGGTCCAACTTGCAAACCTTCTTGAGGCTAGATCTTTATCTCGGCTGAAGAACAAAGTGTTGGTCAAACTTGCCAACTTTCTTGAGCCTAGATCTTTATCTCGGCTGAAGAACAAAGTGTTGGTCAAACCTACCGACTTTCTTGAGCCTAGATCTTTATCTCGGTTGAGGAACAAAGTGTTGGTCAAACCTGCCAACCTCCCTGAGCCTAGATCCTTATCTCTGCTGAGGAACAAAGTGTTGGTCAAACCTGCCAACCTTCCTGAGCCTAGATCCTTATCTCGGCTAAGAAAGAAGAATTTGTGTTGGTCAATCCTGCCACCCTTCTTGAGCCTAGATCCTTATCTTGGCTAAGGAAGAAGAATTTTTGTTGGTCAAACCTGTCAACCTTCTTGAGCCTAGATTCTCATCTCGGCTGAAGAACCAAGTGTCGGTCAATCTTGCCGACTTTAGTGATTGCCTCCAGTCGAAAATAAATATGAACGACTTTTACAAACAAAGGAAAGAATTTTGCCAGGAAAAAGTCTACTTGCTTTATTAAAAAAGAAAAAATCACTAGTGTTTTAAGGAAAAGCTAGAAATAAAATACTTTGAGATTGGCCGTGTTCCATGGCCTGGGAATTGCTTTGTTGTCTATATCTTCTAAGCAATATGCTCATTTTCCTACTAAACTAATCACTTTGTATGGTCCCTCCCAGTTAGGCCCTAACTTGCCATCTCCAGGTACCAAAGTATTGCCCATTACTTTGCGTAGTACCCAATCTCCAATCTTGAATTGCCTTGAATGCACTGTTTTGTTGTATTTTCTAGACAACTCTTGTTGATAAGAAGCAATGTGCACCAATGCCCTTTCTCTTCTTTCTTCTGCAAGGTCGAGTTCTAGGGCTATTGCCTCACCATTCAAGTTGGGATAAAAAATTTCACTTCTAATAGTGGGGAGGCCTACTTTCAGTGGGATTACTGCCATGCCATAGGCCAATGAAAAAGGTGTTTCGCCAGTTGACCACCGATGTGTGGTACGGTAGGTCCATAAAACATGGGAAAGTTCCTCAGCCCACTTGCCTTTTGCTCTCTCCAGCCTCTTCTTCAGACCGTCTACGACAACTTTGTTGGAAGCCTCAGCCTAGCCATTAGCTTGGGGGTATGTCGGTGTAGAGTTGTAGAATTCTATCTTGTATTTTTCGCAAAAGCCCTTAAAGATTTTGCCATCAAACTGAATCCCGTTGTCGGATATCAAAGCCTTGGGTATGCCGAACCGAGTTATGATGTCCTGCCAGACGAACTTCTTAACGTCTTTTTCTTTTATAGATACTAGTGCTTCTGCCTCCACCCACTTTGTGAAGTAGTCCGTTGCTGCGAGAAAGAACTTTCTGTTACCTGGTGCGGTTGGAAGTGGTCCCACTATATCGAGGCCCCACATTGCAAAGGGCCACAGGCTGGTCAAGGGTAGGAGCTTTCTGGCTGGTTGATGTATTTGGTGTGCGAACTTCTAGCATTTGTCGCACTTCTTGACATATTTCTCTGAATTTGCTTGCATGTAGGGCCATCAATACCCTTGTGAATTGCTCGGTAAACCAGCGATCTTCCCCCTTGGTGGCTTCCGCAAACGCCTTCGTGTATTTCAAACAAAAACGCTTCGACCTTGCTGGGATGGATACACTTCAAGTAAGGTCCTGTGAAAGATTTCTTGTACAATGCTAGTGACGGGGAGAGCCAAAATCGCTGTGATTTTGCTCGAATTTTATTGGCTTCTTTCTTTTCTTTAGGCAAGGTGTCATCTTTTAAAAAACATTGTGATGGGATCCATCCAAGAAGGGCCTAACTCGGCATAACATGCTTCAGCTGCTTCAGGCTTTTCTATACTTGGTCTGAGTAGAAAGTCAATCAACAATGGGTGTGGGATAGATGTATCTGTCATTGACGCGAATTCGGCCAGCCCATTTGCTTTACTATTTTCCTCTCGACTGATTTGCTCTATCCGAACTACTTCAAATTTCATGATCTCCTTTCTCACCAACTCTTGGTATTTAGCCATTCTCTCATCGTTTGCTTCGTAATTGCCCGAGATCTGGTTGACTACCAGTTGGGAGTCACTGTACATCATTAGCTCGGTGGCATTCATGCGAAGTGCTGATTTTAAACCTGCTAACAATGCTTCATACTCCACTTCGCTGTTGGATGCTGGGAAACCAAGGTTGACTGCTTGTTCAATCGTTAGGCCATCCGGTGAGACGAGGACTATGCCTAGTTCTGCACCGTACCTGTTGGATGCTCTGTCCACGAAGAGTTTCCACATCTCTCCGACGAAAAGCTTTCAGCAAGTTGCTGGATCTGACGATGTCTTGGGATTAGGGACGCTGCTGATGCCTTCTTCTAGGTTAATGCTTGCCGTTGGGCTTTGATCCTTACTCAAGACTTTATTTTTGGGTGAGTCCTTGCTGTCGGTGCTGCGGTCTGTTCCTTCTTCCCTTTCTTCAAGATTGAATGGCTTGCTATGCAGTTGAGCGTCCTACTTTGGGGGCTGCACTATTCCTGCGGCACTTTCCCCCCTTCTTTCGGTCTCGGTTGCTTTGGTCAAGTCGACCGGGTAAACATGATGGTTTCCCGGTGCAAATTTGGCCAAGAAGTTTGCCAAAACTTGGGCCTTTATTGTTGTTCTTGGTTGAAACTTAATGTGAAATTGTCCCAACTCTACGACCCACTTTGGAATTCGTCCAGAAAAATCCGCCCTCTCAAATAAGGCTCTTAAAGGGAAGGTTGTTAAGACAATCACGGTGTAGGCATGGAAGTAGTGCGACAATTTTCTTGAAGCCATCATCAAAGCTAAAGCCTGCTTCTCCAATGGAAGGTACCTTGTTTCGGCGCTCAACAATGTCTTGCTCACATAAAAGATAGGCAGGTGTTGTATTCCTTCAGCTCTTACCAACACCGTGCTAATTGCATGCTGGGAAACTACTAAGTACAAAAAAAGCTCCTCTTCTAGTATTGGGGTTACTAACAACGGTGGAGAGGTCATGTAGTGTTTCACGCTTTCTAGGGCGCGGTCGCATTCGTCATCCCACTCAAACTTGGCCTTTAGTGCTTGGAAGAATGGTCGACACCTGTCTGATGACCGACTTATGAACCGGTTTAGTGCGGTTGCAAGGCCAGCGAGATGCTGTACCTCTTTGACTGTGTTGGGCCTCTTAAGATCTTGGATAGTTTTGATTTGAGAGGGATCAGCTTCTATACCCCGGTTGGTTACTAGAAATCCCAAGAATTTGTTCGACCCCACGCCGAATGCACATTTAGATGCGTTCAAACCAGTGTTTTTAAAGGCGAAAGCGCAAGGCGAGGCGTTTTACCCTTGTTGAGGCAAGGCGTAAGCCTCGAGGCGTTGAGGCGTAAGCCTTTTGAATTTTGATTTTTTTAATTTTTATAAAACGCAAAATTAATTAAATATAGCATAAAAAGAGTAAAAAAAATAAGAATTGCCAAATAAAATTTTTAAAGGCCATTCTAAGCATATAACCAAAATTAATTAATTATTTCAAGTATTATAAGTGGTTTCTAAGTCATTCTGATTAATACTATAATAAAAAAATAACTTAAGTCATGGTCAAAAACTTAAATTCCAATTGTTCAATAAACAAAATAACTTAAAACTCTAATACTCTATGAACAAAGTATAAATAAATAATAGGTCACTCTAAGTCATCCTCATTAATATTGTCATCATCTTCGTCCGCTATATCTATAATGGGATAAGTTCCATCATCTATTCCACCAACTTCTTCCAACTCCATGTCTTCATCCGCAAGGGTGCATCTTGCTGCCTTGCCTTTTCCTCTATCATTTCCTATACAAGAAATAGGATTTCAAATTAATTAAATAGGCACATATAATAATATATATGCAACTAGTCCATAATTGTTTAACAACTTACTGAACCTTCACCAACTTTTCTTTTCTTCGCATTCGAAGATGAGTCAACATTAATCGTAGTCATAGTTGATCGATTCTCCACACTTCTATCATATGTAGTGATAGGCACAGTCCTAATTGCTTCAGCATCGAACAATTCTTCTTCATCAAGCCAAGAAGCATCAAGGGAGAGGACAGGATCTTCTTTTTCAGCAATCCATTCATCATCCGAATCAATTTCATCAATTAGTATTGGATCGATGTTTTGTCTTCTTCTGATACTCCTCTCTCTTACTTTAGTGTTGTACTTCACATAGACCAAAGCATTCAAATGTTTGTGCTCAAGCCTATTCCTCTTTTTTGTATGAATCTAATATAATAATATAAGAAACGAAATAAGAAACATGAATATTTTATTTTATGCATTACCGTCAACAATGATGTAATTGGATGCTCGGGATCGGACTTTGGCTGCCTGCTGTTGGTCATCTGGGAGTGTCCCTGTGGTCAAGAATAGGAGAATATCGGATGCCCAAGGGATGGGTTCGTTTTGGATGAACTGTACAGCTTGCAGGTCGGGTGAAATGGCCGGGTGGGATCATAATAGTCCAATTGGATATCAGCCTTGAGACGCTCATCATAACTCAACATTCTATCCATGCACTGATACAATCCTTGCCTCACCTCCTCAACATTGGAGAAGGAATCTCGATAGCGCAATTGAGGGTTTAGATAATAACCAGCAGCATGTAAAGGTCTATGAAGTTGTGGTGTCCACCTTGCATCTATCTTATTCCAAATTGGTCCGTACTTCCTAACATTTCCTCCACAATTGAAAGCAATCTTTTCTTTAGCCAAATCCATCAACTCATAAATGTAAACCATAGCAGGCCTTTCCTCTGAATCAACTTCTCGCAAAACACTAACCAAAGGTATTGTGCTTTTGATACAAAAAGCAATATTCGGCCAAAATTTTGGATCAAACAACACAGTTGCACGAGCCTTTACCCCTTCAACCTTTCTTGCCCAACTACTAGAAGCCCACTTTTCTGAAGAAAACATAGCTTGGAGTGGTTGCTTTTGTTTGTAAAGACTTTGGAAAGTAAGATAAGCAGTGGCAAACCGTGTTACTGCTGGACGGAGTAGTTCACTGTTCTTTGTAAATGATCTCATCATTGAAAGAACCCAACAATGTCCATATATAAACTTGACCACTTGCCTAGATAACGAGAGAGTTTGGTCACAGACTTTCAATTTTCCAATGTCCTCCAACATTAAATCAATACAATGCGCAGCACATGGAGTCCAATACAACTTCTTCCTCTTCTCCATAAGTCTCGACCTGGCATTGACATAGTTTGAAGCATTATCAGTAATAACTTGAACAACATTATCTTCCCCAATTTCATCTACGACACTATCAAGATAGTTAAACATCAACTCCCCATTTTTTATAGTATCAGATGCATCAATTGATTTTAAAAACCAAGTTCCAGCAGGGCTATTCACAAGAAAATTAATAAGAACTCTACTTTTCCCATCTGTCCAGCCATCAGACATAAACTTTCAATTTTCCAATGTCCTCCAACATTAAATCAATACAATGCGCAGCACATGGAGTCCAATACAACTTCTTCCTCTTCTCCATAAGTCTCGACCTAGCATTGACATAGTTTGAAGCATTATCAGTAATAACTTGAACAACATTATCTTCCCCAATTTCATCTACGACACTATCAAGATAGTTAAACATCAACTCCCCATTTTTTATAGTATTAGATGCATCAATTGATTTTAAAAACCAAGTTCTAGCATGGCTATTCACAAGAAAATTAATAAGAACTCTACTTTTCCCATCTGTCCAGCCATCAGACATAATTGAGCATCCATATTGTTTCCATGCTTTCTTATGTTCTTCCATCATGACATTTATGTCCTCTACTTCTGCTTTAAGAATCCAAGTCCTCAATTCATGCATAGAAGGGGGTTTGAAACCAGGTCCATAATTTGCAATTCCATCAACTGCAGCTACCCAATACGGATCATTCACCAAATTAAATGGAAGAGCTTTACAATATATAAAACGCCCAATCTTTCGACACACATCTTTTCTTTCTTCTTGTTTCCATTTGGAGTTCAGTGTAGATTGTCGTGCTTGAGAACTAGCAAATTTATCCATTGGACCCCTCAGTTTTGGTGCTTGTGTCATACCACCAGTATCGCCTTCAATAGATTGAGAAGCACCACTCTCGCCCTTTGCTCCAGCACCCATCCCAATTTCATATAGCATCTCATTACGGGCACTTTTTTGCTCAAAGAAATTTTTTAATGCGTGTTGGCATTCCAACTTTACATCTTCAAGAACTTTTGAACACGGTTTAATGCCTTTATGCGTACCGGCTAGATGATTTTTAAATCGACTTACAGTACCACTACAAGTTTGATCACAAAATTTACATCTAAAATACTTTTCCCCATCAACTTCTTTTACATACTTCCAGACAAAATCTTTTCTTTGGTCTTTGGGTTCAGTCATTTTTTTTTCCCCACAAACTTATCAACTGTAGCACTACATAAAAATAAACAAAAAAAATTAAAAAAAAAAAGATACTGGTTAGGTGGGATGGCAAAAAGAAAAAAAAAATATTAATATTAATAATAATAAATTATAGTCTATCAAAAAATAATAATAATAATAATAATTTTAAATAAAAGAAGGAGAAACATTAAAATAATAATATTAAGCATGATATGGTAATCTACTGCACTGTACATATATAATATATTATATAATAACAAATTAGTCCACTACATATATAATATATTATTTAAATCTACTACACTGTACATATATAATATATTATATAATAACAAATTAGTCCACTACATATATAATATATTATTTAATAACATTAGACTGTACATATATAATATATTATATAATAACATGTTAGTCCACTACACTGTACGCTTGAAACAAAGATATAATATATTATATAATAACATGTTAGTTCACTGCTGCACGCTTGAAACAAAGATATATATATTATATAATATATATCCATCACAGTCGGATAGAGATAGATAGACCACTGTACTACACTGTAGCTATATTATATAACATATACACTGCACGAAACAAAGATACATATATTATATAATATATATACATCACAGTGACAGAACGAGAGAGACGATGTAGAAAGCAGATCGAGAGAGACGATGCAAAGATGATGCAGAGAACAGAACGAGAGAGAGAGACACAGAGACAGAGTCGACTCAACTCGACAGAAAGAGAGAGAGAGACTGCGTACCTTGAACACCCTAGTTCGTTGAAGAAGATTAGGCGACTGATTTGAAGTTGTTGGACTCTGATTTGAAGATCGACTTACATGGTATTTATAACTTATTCTTGAGCAATTTCTGTTTGAATCGAAGTCAATTTATAGCAATTTTCCATCAACTACTCTATCTTCCCTTTTTGAATTTTGAAATGGAACTCTTCAAAGGCTTCCGCCTCGCTATCAAAAGCGTGAAAAGAGCATGAAGCGCGACAAATGCTTACGCCTCTGATCTTGACGCGTACGCATAGTTGGGGTCTCGCCCCAAACAGAATGCATCTGTGCGTTTTTCGTACGCCTCGCCTCAAGTCGCGCCTCGAATACGCCTTTGAAAACCTTGGTTCAAACACAACTTATGGGACTTCAAAATTTGAAACATTTCATCTAGGTCCTTGAGATAGTCCCTCACCATATCATCAATGTAAGCTTCCGTTGTTTTGCCTAACAATGGTTTAAACATTTTGGTGATCATCCGTTGGAATGTTGCCCCTGCATTTTTTAGATCAAAGGGCATGACTTTGTAGCAATATAGTCCTCTAGGTGTTGTAAATGACGTGACCTCCTGATCCGATTCATACATAGCGATCTGATGGTAACCGCGATACGCATCAAGAAAGCTAAGTCGGTTATGCCCTGCTGTTAGGTCCACCAGTTGGTGAATTCTTGGTAGGGGAAAGCTGTCTTTTGGGCATGCTTTGTTGACTATTTTATAGTCCACGCACATGCGCCATTTGCCGAACTACAGTGTTGGAAATCCATCTGGGATAGTGTACTTCTCTGATGCTACTGCTTCAAACAAGTTTCTTACTTCCTTCGCCACTATTTCTGCGTGGCGGAGTGCCGATCGGCGAGTTCGCTGTATGATTGGTCTGGCGGTTGGATGGACATTGAGTTAATGGCAGATGAAATTAGGGTCAAAGCCAGGCATGTCATACGGCGTCCAGGCGAACACTTCGATGTTAGAGGTCAAAAATTTCATGATCTCTATTCTCTCGGTGCTGGACAGAGACGAGCCGAGCAGAGCAAAAAGAACTTTTCTGGGTTCTTTTCATCCATCCTTACCTCCACCAAGCCTTCTACTACCTTCTATTCGACTGTTTTGCCGACGTCTGCGAGCAGCTCGTTGCTTTCTGGTTCCTCTACCATTTGTACAAACCCTTTTGCAGCCCGGTTGCCATTTACCGTCACGAAGCACTGCTTGGACATGATCTAGTCTCCTAAGGCCTCTTCAACTACCTCGCCTTCGTTAGGGAATCGCAATACCTGATGGTTGGTCGAGGCTACTGCTCGCATGGCATGTAACCACGCTCTCCCCAGTATTATGTTATAAGTGGACGGGACCTTCAGTACCCAGAATTCCACTTGCTTCGTCATCGTTCCTATTTTGACTAGTAGAATTAACTTGCCTACCAGCCATTCTGGCATTGAGTTGAAGCCGACTAAGGGAGATGTTGCAGGTGCCAAGTCTTTATCCTCCAATTTCAGTTGCTTGAAGGTTTCATAGTACATTATCTCACACGAGCTCTCTTGGTCAATTAGGATCCGTTTGATGTCAAAATTCTTGACGCGCAGAGTCACCACCAATGCGTCGTTGTGGGGGCATTGTAACCTTGCTAAGTCTTTGCCCGAAAAGGTGATGACGTTCGTTGCCTCCATTTTTCCCCTTTTGACAATTGGTTGTGTGCTTTGTACCTCTCTCAAGTGCTCAGCTTTTTTAATCATCCCTCTGAGCTCACATACCTGCTGGGTTTGACGATCCCATGTATCACGTTGATTATACCTTGGGACGGACCGTTGGTTGGAGTCGCATCTAGCCTGTTGCGGTCTTGGGGTGCGGGCTGCGCTCCAAGAAAAAACGTAAATTCAAAAAATGAGTTTACGTTTGTTTTTAAACAAAAATTTAAAAATTTTACTAACAAAATTTTTTTTCCAATTAAATTGTTTTTTTAATGAATTTTTTTTTCTAACTAATACTAGCCGAGGGGGCAATTGGTAATGCTACTTTAAACCTTAGGGAGGGGATTGTAATTTCTAAAATGTGAGGGGTGTCAATGTAATTTACCCAGTGAGGGCCAAATTGATATTTAAAAAAATTAAATTGCTGAGGGGGGAGAATCTGTAATGAAACTTCCCCCCTCACCTTTTGGAAATTACATCCCCTCCTTGAGGTTTAAAGTTTCATTACAGATTGTCCCCTGAGGTTTAAAGTTGCATAACAGTTCCCCCCTCACCGTAATGATCATCATTCATAAAATTAAATTAACTGGGGGTCAGTGTAATTTTCCAAATGTAAGGGGAGAACTGTAAGAAATATAAAGCTCAGATGGTGTCAGTGTAATTTACCCTAATTTTTTATATAAATATTTTATCTAATAAGTTTTAAAATAAGAATCATCCAAATTATGGAAATTAGGATAGATTAGGATATTTGTTTCAAAAAAATTAGGATACTCCGCGGATCACTCTCCCTCCATATTGCACCACTTCATTCATGTATAGTTTCGTTGCCTTTTGGTGATACCACTACCACCTTTTATCTAATTCTCTTTCAAAACACACAACAGTGTTTGACGCCATTACACACACACTCTCTCTCTCTCTCTCAAACATGAATAAGGTTTTTGCTGCCTTTTGGTACTTCAGCATCCTCTGCCACCTCTTTTGCACCGACCCCACCACCACCATCCCAACGACCACCACCACCACCACCTTTGAAAAACATGAGAGCCTCTCACAGCCTCAATCCGCCAAGAAAGCTAAGAAAGCAGGGATGAAAGCGAAACAACAACAACAAAATCAATCTTTTGAGAAGGAGTTGCAAGAAATGCTTCAATAGTTGAGGATCGAGAAGGAGCAAACTGAGGAGCTATTGAAGGCAAGAGAGGAGACTTTGAAGATGAAGGAGGAGGAGCTTGAAGCAAGGGAAGGGGCAAAGAGCGAGAAAAGCTTCAGAAGGAGCTCAAGAAGTTGCAGAAAATGAAAGAGTTCAAACCCCTCATGGTCCCCCCCCCCCCTCCTTTTTTTCCCCTCTTCAATACGATGTTTGGTTGCCAAGAAAATGTAGGAAAAATGAAGGAGGTTTAGAAAGGGTAATTTTCCTACATTTTCTCAGAAACTGAACCCAGATTGATGGTTCAGAATTGATGATTCTCTATATTTCTCTCTCCCCCCTTCTTCTACTTCTTCTTCTTCTTCTCTCTCTCTCTCTCTCATCTTTGTCTCATTGAATTTCTACAGAAAAGAAAAGGATCCATTGAACCGAAGCAACCAATGTCTACGTTTTTAATGTTAAAAAATGAGCGAAGAGCAGCTCTGCTTGCAGAGAGCAAGGGTGTCTGGGAGGTAATTGAAGAGGCCTCACGTTCAGTTTCTTAAATTCTTGTTATTGATCATATGCTAATTTGTAAAATTGGCATCGTTTGACAGGTTGGAGAGATCATAGGTGAAGAATGGAATAACATGACAAAGAAACAGAAGAAGCCTTATGAAAAGGTTCAATTAACTTTTTTTTTCTCTCTCTCTCTCTCTCTGCAACAGCAATTTCATATTTTGGGAACTTGCAAATTGCAAAGCAAAACAAGGAAAAATATTTGGAAGAAATGGAGGCTTACAAGCAGAGGAAGGAGGAAGAGTCTGCCAATCTCAAAAAAGAAGAGGAAGCAAGAAGCCTTGCAATTGCTCAAGAAGAAAGAGAAAACCGATAACATAATTTAAAATTTTAATGAGTTTTAAAATGAATTTAAGTTTGATTTATAGACTTAGCACAGATACACAGGAGGCTTGTTTGGCTTGATAGTAATTATTTTTTCCTTTGACATTCATACAAGAATTTTTCTTTTACTATTAAACTATTTTGTTCCTTTAACTATTTTTTCTTTAACTATTTGTTCCTTTATCTATTTTGTTCCTTCAACTATTTTTTCTTTGGCTTCCAAACAATGTTTAGAGTAACATGTGATTGAATGGTATGGATGGTGAAATAAAACCATTTTGTGCAAATTGTGAAATCGGGATGACCGAAATGTACATCTTTTGTGGTTCTCTCCATTGACATTCATACAAACATATAGTGAGATATGGGGTTGTTGGGATTCATTGAAGGCTTCAAGATTGGATATTTTTAAGTGCAACAAGGTAAATTGGTAAGAGTGAAAGATGATGTAGGGATGATAGGTTATGATACAGACAACTTGGGAGGGAAGTATGTCAAGGGAATGAATGTTTTTTCTTGGTGTATGTTCCTTGTGAGGGGTATGACATTTGAAGTGGATAAAATATAAGGAAATTGAAAATGGAGAATATGTAAAGTAGTTACAAAAAAAAAAGAAAAACCTATAATGGTGCCTTTGTCAGATGGGGAAGATTAATGCCAAAGTGCATAACTTGGGAGTTGTTGCAACCTGTAGAACTACTTTAAATTTTGTTTATTAGTTTTACAATATAATATTGTAAAACAATACTAATGCATTTTGAATTAAATATTTCACATTACAAAATGTCTAGAACACACGGTCTACAAACTGAATTATTTTGGTGGTAAAATGAATGTAGTTTAGTTCAGAAAGTTGTCATATTGAATTATAATTTTGTAATGTAGTTCATGACGTTAAAGTCATATTAAACTGCTTGTATTGGTAGCAATTAGTTTGAGGAGGTAAAGAGTAGTGATTGTGATAGCATTGGGTCTTAGATCTTCTTTTTTTAGGTGCTTCAAATTTTCTTATGTTATTTTGTTTCTTAGTTACTGAAACATCGAATTAACTCTGCCTAACTCTGCCCAGAACTTTGAAACTTGTTCTTTATATTTGTTTCTAGACTTCCTTGTATAGTTTTACTTCATGAGATGGCATAGTGATTTCAACTTGGTATACTGCTTGTAAGTGTACTTAACTATTACAATTGTTTCGAGAGCTTAATCACAGAAGGACAAGCAGGTCTTAAATACTTAGATGTGTTCTATTACTACTCAAAGCAACAGGAGCTTCTATTTACACACACAACATCCACTCTCTACACATCTCTCCTCACTACACTTCCTACACACCTCCTTCATTAAGTGTGTGTATTGAGGGTGTTTGGTGTGTGTATATAGAAGCTCCCCAAAGCAACCTATTACAAGAAATTGCAAACTATGATAGCTGTTTGTTGATTGGCATTGATGACTTAGGTCTTGATGAATTATCCAAAGCATCCAATTTTATGAGACGATCAGGCCTTACTTTGCCTTGAGAGTAGAAAACTGTGAATTGATGCAAATTGTTTGGTTTATGTACAAGTTGAGATCTGTGTACCACTGTTCAGATATGGTATATTACGTCTTTTTTACCTCAAAAGTGCTCAATTTGTGTTTGAAAGGAATGGCTAGAGTTAGGTTTCAAGTTCTTATGTTGGGGGTTCAAACATGAGGGTAGCCACTTTATATATAATAATGCCAAAAGTTAGGTCTGTACTCAATTTACCCCTCCTAGACCCCCATCTAAGGGGGATTAAACTGGGTGTACTTTGTTTTTTTGTTTGGTTCTGTTTAGTCAACTAGAGTGGTTATTTAGATTAATCAAAAAGTAATGCTTGTTCTGTGAATCATATGGAACTTGATAAAATATTGGAATGAAATTCTCCACGAGTTGGTCTTTAATTGGGATAATTAATCTCAGTCATATGACTCATATTATAATGTCTGTTGCCAAACCTGGCTTGTTATATGGGAGCTTAGCCTCTTGAAAATGTAGAAGTGTTTATATTGAATCATGGTAGCATAAATAAGGTTGAATAGTAGGTCCATGCTTTTTGAATATATTATTTTTCTTTCTTTTTTCTTTGGCCTGTTGTTTTCCTAGTACATGGCTTTGGTGCTTGCTCCCTTTTTCACTTTTGAAAAATTATTTGAGATTTTCATGTGAGATGCACGAAATTGTTGTGCTGCCTGACATGTAGGTGCCACAGACAAGTGCCCCACTCCCTCCTGCTGTCATGTTTCATTATTTTCCATTTTGTTTTGCTGTCATGTTTTCCTCATGGACTAAGACTAAAAGTATAATTCTTCGCATTGGAATAGTAATTATGGAAACGACTATCAAATTTTGAATGTTGGGAGTAGACATGTCTAGGAACTTTTATTTAATTTTTACTGATTACAAACTCTGAAAGCTCTCTGTTGGAAGTTATACAATTAGATAGACAATCCTTTCATTATCCTGAAATGTACTCGATATTTCACTAAGTTTTTTCATTATGGCAGACTGACTTGTAGTGATAGAACATCCTCAGCACTAACTACTTTGCATAAATGCGCACAGTTTCTTTGGTTGTTGCTTGTAAACTTACCATAATAACTGGAGATTATGAATTGATGTTTTAAGCCCTTGAACTCTAGAGTTGGTCACTTCCAATCAAAATATTGCAGGTGGTTGTCAGCCTTCACATATTAATAACGACAGCTACAGTTTTGTTTCCAGTTTTTGTGATCCTCATGTTAGTTTGTCACTTACTTTCTTGTAAATTTTCATTTGGTATTTTGTTTTATTTCTAGCATCAAAATACAAAAGCAAACAACACTTAGCAATTTGCTGCATTAAACTTTGATTGACGCTGTGCAATCGGTTCAATGCTATTCTTTGTCTTTCGTCACTCTCACCCAAGAATGTTTGTCAGTAAATTCTAGTTGAACTCTGTTATTTGTTTGACTTAAAAAGATGAGTAGTGATATGCAAACCAAAATTTTGCATGTAAAATTAATATAGAATGATGTGGTAAGTCTTAATTTTATCATTTTAAACAAAAGACCCATCAAAGTGACATATTTTCCAAAATGCTACCACAACATTCCTTTTGAAAATTTTGTAAGGATATCATTTTCCTCAAAAGATTGCAGGATTTATGTAATTAAATGCAAGAATGAGCATTCCTTTCTAGTTTGCAAACAATCAATATATAGCAGAATTTTGATAGAAGCTTTAACCGTGAGTTGTGCTTGATTTAATGGCTTCATGCAAGCCTTTTTGGTTAATGTCTTGCCATCTCAGATGGATGGATGGTTTTTCGTACAAATCTTGGGCATAGATTGTTGGGCTTTTATTGTCCAATAGATTGGTGATGTGCTAGGGGAGTGCAACAAAGAATGAGAAATTAGAAATAATAGAAAATATATATTGTTTGTAGCAAGCCAGAAAACTGGCACATTACTTCATTTGATGCCATTGAAGAGTTCATGGCTGTGGTTTGAAATCCTGCAGGTATGATTCTGCTGTTCTATTTGGTGTCACATAAATGCTCTTTGCCTGCGTTGTGTGGCTGAATTTGGTATCCTATGCACATACAAATTATGACATGAGAGCGCTTGCTAAGTCACTTGATAAGGTAAGAACCGGCATCTTTTTTTTTTTCCTTCCCAAATACCTGCGCAAATCCATGATCCAAACAGGCTTAGTGATTCTGATGAATACAAATACTGGAACATATTTCTATTTCATTTGTTTCAATATAGGCGGTTCATTGGGAGCTTTTAATTGATTATTGTATTCAATCCACTTGCATAATACAACTACAAACTATGTAATTGTCCTTTCTGTATTAGACATTAATAGTCTTAAGTACCACTACAAGAAATTAAGGTTTTAATGACAAATTTTTAGGAACAAAATAATTTGTTTGTAAAAGTTATACTTTTAGAGACAAAATGACAAAATTTTTTAAAAAATAAAATTTAATCATATTATTATGTTTTTAAGACAAAACTATTTGGTTGCAAAAGGTCAATGACTTTTTGCCAACAATTTTGATTCGTCCCCAATAAACACAACTCATATATTATTTTATTTTAATTTCATTCTTTCAACTTCAATAGTCGGGATCTCATTTCCTTCTCCACACCACTGTCTCTCTCTCTCTCTCTCTCCATTGAAGCCCTAATTTCATTGTTCTCAGTGGTTTGTTGATTTCAATCCCTCTCTCTCGCGATCGAATCCCTAGTTTCATTGTTCTCGATGGTTTGTTGATTTCAATCCCTGATCTCAGAGACTCCTCGACAACGATTTCAGTATCCAGGTTTGATCGATTAATCGATTATTCATTTGAGCTAAAATGTGTACGAAACCGATGATGTTTTTATGTCTTCGATTCATTCGTTTTTAGTTTATTTCTTGTAAATTTACAGTTGTGAAGATCTGTTGTTGTTTGTTGTGATTCACATAGATCTATTGTAAATTTCAGATTCCTTTTTGTTTTCAGTTTGATACATAAATCTTTGAACTTGATTTTTTTTTATTATTTTTTGTTTGTTTAGGCATGACATTGATTCGAGAGATTGTGTTTCTTCAATTTGTTTGCTCGGAACTTGTATTCTTTGGTTTCAATTTATACTTGAATTTGGTTTTCTGAACATTAGGATCTATTATTGTAGTATTGAAAGAAAATGAAGGCAAATTTGACATGGTTCTGTGGATATTATTTTTCTAATTATTTTCGTTCTAAGTGACATGGTTCTGTTTTTAGATCAACTTAACTCCTTGGCAAGGCCAAGGCCAAAGGATTATCTCTTCTGTTACCCACTGATGTGGTAATTGCCGACAAGTTTGCTCCTGATGCAAACAGCAAGGTTCGTTCCTTGAGCTCCAATTGGAATTTCATTTTGCTCAAGTTTTATTACTTTTGGCATTCAAAATCTTTAGGTCCCTTCACTGGCAATGGAAAACCTATCATTTTGTTTGATTAAAACTGACAGTCTGGTAGTAACCATCATTCCACAAACTGGTGTGTAAATAATAGATGTATTATTGATTGTTGTTGACATATGTTGTAGTGGCTCATTATATAGGAGAGGGTGAGTGTAGTAGGTGAGGAGTAGGTGAGGAGTAGGTGGTGGTAGGTGATGGTAAATTGGTGGTAGGTGATGGTAAATTTTAACAGCCCCCCGCAAACTCAAGGGGGATAGGAACTAACCAACTTGAGTTTGGTTATCCCCCTTGAGTTTGGAGAGAGTTACAAAACAAGAAAATACATAAAAATAAAAGAGGATAGGAGACACTGTATGGTCGTGTCAGACCATTGGTGAAGACACTGGATGGTGGTGTCATAACGTTGTAGAGGACACTGTATGGTGATGTCATAACGGTGTAGAGAACACTGGATGGCGGTGTCAGACCGATGTAGAAGACAGTTTATGGGGTCATGTCGGACCGTTGTAGAAGACAGTTTATGGGGTCATGTCGGACCGTTGTAGAAGACAGTTTATGGGGTCATGTCGGACCGTTGTAGAAGACAGTTTATGGGGTCATGTCGGACCGTTGTAGAAGACAGTTTATGGGGTCATGTCGGACCGTTGTAGAAGACAGTTTATGGGGTCATGTCGGACCGTTGTAGAAGACAGTTTATGGGGTCATGTCGGACCGTTGTCCCCCCCCCCCCCCCCGCCGGTGAAGCAGAATTACTAGCTTCTCAACCTTGCTCTGATACCATGTAAATAATAGATGTATTATTGATTGTTGTTGACATATGTTGTAGTCTATATTACAAATGGTGAGTGGCTCATTATATAGGACAGGGTGAGTGTAGTAGGTGAGGAGTAGGTGAGGAGTAGGTGATGGTAAATTGGTGGTAGGTGATGGTAAATTTTAACATGGTGATACTACATTAGTTGGTATGTAATAATATTTTACTTCGGTCATTGCAGATTGTGTCAGCAACTGGCATCCCTGATGGCTGGATGGGATTAGATATTGGACCCGACTCTATTAAGACATTTAATGATGCTTTGGACTCTACCAAAACTGTTATTTGGAATGGACCAATGGGAGTGTTTGAGTTTGAGAAGTTTGCTGCTGGGACAGAGGTGTGCAATAATTTTCTTGCTTGTTTCTTTGGTTTAATTTATCAAAAAATGGATGAATCATATTGTGCACATGTGCACGTAATGATACCTGTGAAAAAATTCATATGCCTTGGGGGGATGACAATGGGGTTGGGTCTGGGACGATATGGTGCCACTTTTTTGCCTAACTTACCGAAGAAAGTCTTGGTTGGGAATTACTGAGAATTTGCTTTTATGTATGTTTGGTTTTATTCATCTTACCCTCAAATTGAATGCAGTAGATAAATTTTGCATTAAGCGAAGAAAACTTGATCATGCATTCAACCGAGTCCAGTTTTAAACTGTACAAATCGTTGGGCTATGTCATGCAAAGAGCCCATCAGAAGAGGGAGAAATAGTAAAGATTACCTGATTTACCTGATCCCATTGCAATCCCTATATTTCTGCTTTTGAATCAATGAATGGTGAGTTAAAGTTTGTAACTGCTATTGCAGGCAATTGCAAAGAAGTTAGCTGAACTCAGTGGGAAGGGAGTGACAACCATAATTGGAGGTGGAGACTCTGTTGCAGCTGTAGAAAAAGTAGGAGTCGCTGATGTGATGAGCCACATATCAACCGGTGGTGGTGCCAGTTTGGAGTTGTTGGAAGGCAAATAGCTCCCTGGTGTCCTTGCTCTTGATGAAGCCGCACTAGTTACTGCATAAGACAAGTTTCATACGATTTTACCCCCCAACCCATCCACCCCCTTACATTTTGGTAGCTTTTACATTTTGTTCTTGTAACTGAAATTCAAGCAAATATTGATTTTGTATTCTAAAATCATGCAGAAGGCTCCAGTCATGCAGATAAAGGAAGGTTTAAATGTTAGGCCAAAATGTACGATGCTCGAAAAGGCCATTAGGGAGTTGGAGAAGATGGTTGCAGAATGTACGTTTTAGTATTTCTTTCTATTATAGTGTACAGTCGTAATTATTCATTGAATCATTACTATAAAGCACGTGATCAATTAATTGTGTCTCTTTGTAAATATCAGCAAGACCACCAACCATGGAAGTTCAGGATGCTGATATTTCATCTCAGGCAGTCAAGCGGAGGTTGCCACATGAAGTAAAGCAGAAGCTGGCCAAAGTTGCTAGACTAGCGGTACTAGAAAGTTAACATGACAATTATATGATCCTTGGTTTGTGGTCTAACATAGTTCGTCTTGTACTCACATTTTCTTTTTGTTAACTTCTCATTGTGGCCTTTAAATAAATAAAAAAAATTGTCTTTTACTTGTTGGGTTAAATATAAACATTTATTATTTGGTTGTTGCAGCAAGCAAACCATGGAAAAATATCGATGGAGCTGGTCAATCGTCTTATGAGTATTGTTGGCCGCATGGTACAATTGAGGACATTAGAGGTATTTATTTTTTGAGGAGAATTAATGTTTGATTCTTTAATAAATGTTGCTTCATTTTCTTGTTGATGTTAACTCTCACCCTAGGTCTACTTCACTTAACTGGGTATGGCTTGGGTGGTAATTGTGATTGTTAGAATGATTGAAAGTGGTAATGTGAATCTGAATAATGATTATTTGACAACTTCTTAGGATGATTCTGGACAAATCTCAAAAATAATTTTTGGGAACAGCTTGACATTTTTCGATCCTTTAGAAAATATTTGATGATGACACTGGTGATAATAAGTTTCGAAACTAAATTTTTTTATTTATTTGTTTTGATGGTTTGTTTGCATTAGAAGTGTTTTCATGACAGTAATTTCCTTATTTCTATGACTCTTTAGTCGATTTTTGCATTTTTGGATTTTGTTTATCAACATTGTTCTTCATTTTGTGTCAAAATTTGTTTGATATCATTTTTTTCTCCTGTGTTCATGTCAACGAGTGTTCATTTTTTTTCTCCCGTGTCAACGATTTTATTTGTGCTTTTACTTGAATCAAATTTAGATGTATTTTTTGAATTAATTATAGCTAGATGATGGCCAAAATTTTGTCCAATATTTGATTGAATGATTTTTGTTTTGATAGGCAAATCTGATAAAATTTAAAATGGTGATGTAAAGTTTTAATAAACCTAAATCTTGAATTGTTCAGCCAACTATTTGGCTGGTCAACTGATATGGATGTCTGTTTTGGCATTCCTTCTAACCATGTTGATCTGAACTTAGCCCATTACCTGTCCATTGCAACTTTTGTTCTTTGTAAATTCATAAAGAAACAAAATACTGCTTATTTGATTTTATTTTTCATGATATACATCTGAAATCCATTTTTACTTTCAAACTTGCAGATTGAGCAAGGAATTTTGGACTTGTTAGCACTCGACTCTATCTCAGGTATTATTCCAGATTTAACTTTTCTCTGGGAAAATTTTGTTGTGTGTTGTTTCAGAAAACCATTTCAGTTATGTGTTCTGTTTCTGGCTCTTAGGTGGTGGTCACGCAAATGTAAACCTGTTTCCTAATGTTGATAGCTCCTGGAAAGTATGTAAGAGAACTCTTCTCTATGATTGTTTGTTAAAAATGATGTATTATTGATTGATTTATTGTTGTGTATATTACAAGGATTTATATAGGAGAGGATTTGGGAGTAGGTGAAGATGGTAGTGGAGGTGGTAGGTTGATGTATTATTGATTGATTTATTGTTGTGTATATTACAAGGATTTATATAGGAGAGGATTTGGGAGTAGGTGAAGATGGTAGTGGAGGTGGTAGGTGGAGTGTAGTAGGTGAGGGTGAATTGGTGGTAGGTGTAGTAGGTGTGGTGAATTCTAACAGCCCCCCGCAAACTCAAGGAGGATAGAAACTAACCAACTTGAGTTTGAAGAGAGGAACAAAACAAGAAAATACATAAAAATAAAAAAAAAAAAGATAGGAGACACTGTATGGTCGTGTCAGACCGTTGGTGAAGACACTGAAAGGTGGTGCCATAACGTGGTAGAGGACACTGGATTGTGGTGCCATAACGGTGTAGAGGACACTGAAGGGGGTGTCATAACGGTGTAGAGGACACTGTATGGTGGTGTCATAACGTTGTAGAAGACACTGTATGGTGGTGTCAAACCGTTGTAGAAGACAGTTTATGGGGTCATGTCGAACCGTTGTAGCAGACAATGTTGTGACAGTTGTTGTGACAGTTTACAGAGTCTTGCTGGACCCTTGTAGAAACTAACCGGAATCAATGTCGGGAAAGCTCACGCTCTTTCCAGAACTGAACGAGCCCACAAGCAGAAAAATAACTGGTGCGGTGGCCATGTGAACCGCAACCAAACACCTCTGGTTTTGCTTCCATTGAACTTTCCGATGCGGTCGTGGAGCAAAAAATGGCGATGCAAACTGATATTGAGGCTAATCAGGTATACTTTGAAGGCATGTGTGGAAAGCATGACGGCCGGTCACAAATTTGTCG